CAGGTTGCTCAGTTTGTTCCACAGGTGGTGATGCTTCCTCTGCCACCACCCCGTGTCCTTTCCTAGTCACCATACCTCTTAGTTCCTCTTTTGTTGCTGTGATAAAATATCATGACCAAAAGCGATTATGGAAGAGTTGGTTTGACTTACCGTTCTAGGGGTGTGGATGTGGGGGTAGGGGGGGTGGTCCATCCACAGTTGCAAGGAGGGCATGACAGTGGGTACTCAGAACAGGAAGCTAAGAGCTCACATCTTCAGCTGCGATCAGGAAGCAGAGAGCTGGATCTGGAAGTGGGGCAGGGCTATAAACTCCCAAAGCCTGCCCCAGTGACGTACTTCCTCTAGCTGGGTTCCACAACCTCCCAAACAGCACCACCGGCTGGCATGATGGCTACATAATTTCAACTTTGGTTTCTTTTTCTCAGAAGTCAAAAGAACATTTCTGATCAGGTGTGGTGTTGCCACTTTATGAAATGAGAAGAGCTGGGGCCTTTGTAACAGCAGTAGTTCACAGAAGATGGCACACCAGTGTCTCTTTCCACGCCATTAGTCACTGACTCCCTGTCTCTTGGATTTTTCCTATTGGCACATTGCAAGGACTCTGACTTATACTCAGGATGAAATGGGGAGTCACTGGAAGATTCTGAGCTGAGTACCACAAATGACCTAGGTGTTCCCTGGCTGCTCCAGTGAGACCGGGATGGAGGATGAGGGCAATGTGGGGAGGTCTTCAGGCTAGTGAGTGGACATTGCCATTTCTCCTTTGCTTCCACTGGCTGGCACTGTCCACTTGCTTCCTGTGCTCCGGTCACATGGCTCCCTGTGCCATCTCTCATCTCTCAAGTGGAGAGGTGTGCCCCTACCTCAAGCCTTCTCCCTGGACACTCCTCCAGAGCTCATATGCCTTCTCTCACTCTCTCTAGGTCTGCTCAGAATCAAAGTCGTTGACTTTCCTTCCCTACACATTGCAAACTGCACCTTCTCTATATTTCCCCTTTGCATATACTGTTGTCTGGCAATTATGTTGTTTCCTGGATCTCCTGTGCATTTGGAGATGAGCTCCAAGGAGAGCTGCTTGCCCATTGCTGCATCCTGGGTACTGTGCTTGGGTAGGCTCAGTCGGCTACTGCATGACTGACATTCTCCTGGCACTGGGGCACCTTGGAGAGGGCAGGCACATTGTCCCTGCAGTTGTCTATTGGTCCAGGTCCTGCTACAGTTCAGTCTCCTGTGTCAGATGCCCTTTAGTAAAAGGACCATGTTGCGACGATGTGCCACTGTGTTGCCAGGCACTTTATTTATTTTTTTATTATTTATTTACTTTATTATTATTTTTTTAAGTCTTTTTGAGACAGGGTCTCCCTGTAGTCCCAGCTGGCCTGGAACTTATGTAGTCGAAGGTCTGACTGTTTCTAAAGGTGGGTCACTGGTTGGGTCTCCAAGAATTCCTTGTCTCCAGAACCCCTTGTTCCAGGGAGCCCTGTGTCCCAGTCTACCTGTACATGTGGTTACAAGCCAGCACCTAGAAACTGCCTTGTGTGCAGGCTTCTGAGACGTGCTTGCCCGCCAGTCTGTCCTGCCCTCCCCCAACCCTCCCTCCCTTCCGTTTCTTGACCCAAACCAGTCTTGAATTCTCTATGTAGCTAAGGATGACCTTGACCTTCTTTTTTGTTTTTTGGTGTATGTGAATGCAGGTGACCACGTGTGCTTGTGGAGCTTCAGAGGTCGGCATCAAGAGTCTTCTTCCGACACTTTCCACCTCAGTTTTCCAGTTTTCCTTTTTTTTTTTTTTTTTGGCAGACTCTCCCTAGTCCCAGCCCACCTGAAACTCACTATGTAGACCAGGCTGGCCTCCATTTCACAGAGATCTGCCTGCCTCTTCCTCCCTGCACCTTATTTTTAAAAAATTTATTTATTTTTATTTTATGTGTATTAATGTTTTGCCTTCATGCAAGTGGACCTCAGGCACAGGTGCTGAGGGCTGAATCCTGGTCTTCTGCAAGAACAGCCAGTGTTCTTAAACACAAAGCCATCTCTCCAGCCCCTCCACCTTATTTTTTTTGAAATAGCATTTCTCACTGAACCTGGAGCTTGAGTTTTGGCTAGACTAGCTGGCAGGTGAGTCCCCAGGATCCACCTGTCTCCACCTCCCCCGGTTCTGGGGTTACCAGTGCACTGTCATGCCTAGCTTTTAGATCCACTTTACATACCAAGCTAGATCCCCAGATCCATGACCTTAAACTTCTGATCCTCCCACCTCCACTCCTTAAGTGTTGGACTTATAGCGTATGCCACCATGCCCGGTTTATGCAGTGCTAGGGGCCAAACCCAGGGCTTCGTGCCTACAGTCTACCAACTGAGCTACATCTGCAGTCCCCAGTCCTGTCACTTTAAAACTGAGCACCCTTCTGCTGCTGCTGAGTCCTTTGATGTCCTTGCTCAGCCCAGTTAGATTTTTCCTGAGACAGTGTGTGATGCCAAGTGCAGAGGGAGCCGGCCTCACAGCTTTAGTGAGCATGTCTCCTGGTTCGCCACTGTTCAGGAAGGGCGAATTCTTGTAGCTATTTTTAGTGTAATTACTCATTCTCTCCTACCTCATTAAGCCTGTATCTCTCAAACATGAATACCTGGTTAAATCTGCATAGCCTCTAATTGATCTACCTTTGTTCACATACAAATGGTTGCCACTTTGAGCTTTCCCACTGGACTCCTCAGATAATACGAATTTCATTTTCTGGAAATAGGAATGTGATCTCTTGTTGGTTCTGCAGTTCCCTTGGCTTGTTGGATTACAAATTACTTAGATTTAAATGTTCTATGTCCCAGGGCTAGGGATGGGGCTCAGTAGTAGAGCCCCTGCCTAGCATGTGCAAGACCCTGGGCTCCATCCCCCACACCACACACACACACACACACACACACACACACAGAGAGAGAGAGAGAGAGAGAGAGAGAGAGAGAGAGAGAGAGAGAGAGAGAGAGTCAGTTGGTCTTGTGTTCCCAAATCTGTGATACAGAGCTCTCAACTGAGACAGGGGGATACTGTGAGTGTCCTCAGCCATGAGTCCCTGACCTGCCACTACCGTGGCCTGCCTCATATGTCCCTGTCTTAGCCTCAGTTTCCACATCTCTTTAAGAGGCCATCACGGGGGCTTAAGGGATAGTGCAGCCATTAAAGGCTAAGGCCAACAACCAAAAACTGAAAGAGGCCATCACTCTGGGCTTCAGAAGTGTCTTGGGACTGTGAAGGTGAAAGTTCTCCCCAAGATGCCCCTCATCATTGTCATCCTTTTGAAATGGACCAGGAAGTGGATTTTTTTGAGGCATTTAAAATTATTCCTTGCTTGTCTTTAGAGGCAAAGTTCAGTTAAGAAAGCTTATCGGGGCTGGAGAGATGGCTCAGCGGTTAAGAGCACTGGTTGTTCTTGCAGAAGACCCAGGTTCGAATCCCAGCACCCACATGGCAGCTAACAACTGTCTGTAACTCCAGTCCCAGGGGATCCGATAGCCTCTTCTGACCTTCATGGGCATTGCACGACACGGGTGCACTGAGCTACATTGCAGGCAATACATGTATACACATAAAATTTTTAAAAAAAGAAAGCTTATCAATTATACTTTTGTTTCTACTCCAAAACTCATGACTGCTCACTCAAAGGGCCTTTGTTCTTACTATGGAACATTGTTTACAGTGTCCAGATGAGTGGCACAAACCCTGAACTTTAGATGGTACATTTATTCCCCAAGGAAACAAGTAACAGATTGTGATGCTATTGGGTGGGAGGAGAAGGCTTCCTGCTCTTAGGAGCATTTGATTTGAAAGACTCTGAGCAAGTATCCCTATCCCTCGCTGAAATAATTATGGCTTGTCTCTGGAACTCATAACCAGGCAATGAGGTGAAACTTGTGGCTCGGGGAGTTTGTTTGTAAATGTGAACATAGGTGTTCTGAGTTGAGGTTTGGATGGTGTCATTTTTTCAAAGGACAGCAGTAGGATTCCTTCATTTGTCATTGTTATGTGGTGTTGGGGATTCCTGGGTGGTTGTCAGCCCCAGCAGTCTCCACAGAGCAGGCTGCCTGGTGGTGGCACACTGACTGGTCACTGTCTGCCAGGGGAGGGGCTTCAGCCAAGAGGCCAGGCTGGTTTTCAAGATGGAATGAGGCCTTCACTGTAAAATGCTTAGTAACACACAGCTATGAGAAACAAACATTTCTATTCTTGGGGGTAGAGTGAGGGAGGGGATACAGAAATGTCACTCCTAGTTCCTTACATAATTAGAGTGTACTTGCTACAAATTACAGTTTATTTTCTAGAAAAGTCCATGTCCTCACTGGAAAAAGGATTTTATTTTCAAACGAGTATGCTTTTGAGCAAGTGCTTTGGAGGGGCAGAGACAGGGGGCGAGAAAGCAGGGCTGTGCAGTGGCCAGTCTGGAGCTCAAAGGTCTACACGGTGCTGGGCCTCCACCAAGGATTTCTGTCTGCCGATGGCAGAGTAGATGCTGGCCTTTATAAGGCAGTAGTTCTCAGCCCCAAATGACGACTGTGCGACTATCAGGAAGCTGAGCTGTGTTCTCATGGCATCCCCGTCTGAGACGGCCGACCTCTAGTGCTGTGTATGAAGGGCCCGGGCAGAATTAAGTCAAGAGAACCAGCAAGTGCTCCATTAAAATACGGGAACTAACCCCCCCCCCCCGCTTCCCAAGCTGGTGTGACGCACTCCAAGCTCGCGGAACGCTGGGTAAGAACAGCGTGGCAAACACGGAGCCTGCTTTGGAAATGTTCTTAAACCAGTCTATTAACACAGAACCGTCTGAAACCCAGCTCGCTGCGTGTTTGGAGGGAAACACACTCTTTTATTAGGAACATGAAACAACTCTTTGAGCCTCAGCATCCCTGCGGGCAAGTTTAATTGCCAGGATTAATAAATCACAGCTGCGAAAGTTCAGATCTTGGCAGGCTTCCTATTCAGCTGCTCTTCCCTTGCGGTTCCTTTCCAGATTGATCGTTCCTTTCCAGATTGATCGCCTGCACTATGTCTGCAGCCCGCGCGGCTCTCACACTCTTCCTGGTGGGCTGCTCTGCGCTTGCGCTCCACGAGGCCCACCCGCACCCGGCTGAGTCCTACGTGGCTGCCGTGTACGAGCACCCAGCTCTCCTGGCCCCAAACCCTCTAGAGCTCACCAGCCGCCAGCAGGCCCTGGAGCTCATGAACTGGAACCTGGACATCTATGAACAGCAAGTGATGGCCGCAGCTCAGAAGGCAAGAGTCGCCCTCCGCCGTCCCGGCCGGGTTCCTGCAGCGTCCCAGGCCCCGCTTCAGACTTCCAGAGTCAGAATCCACACGTTAGCAAGATCCCAGGAGGAATTTTGCCCAAGTTGGAGAAGCCCTGGGCTAGGTCACTGGTTCATGTGCCTGGGCGTGTGCTGTAACCAACTGGCCCAGAGGGGTGCAATACAGGCAGTGTATTTCTCAAAACCCTTACCCCGCCCCTCGTGGGGGGCACTTTCTAATAATCAGAAAAACTTAAAACTACTGACCATGGTGAACTTCATGCACTGGGAGGCACTCAGAGTTTATGGGAAATAGAAAACTCGCTAAGCCGCCTGCACATTTCTGGGGTGTACTTCATACAGGAGGGTAGATCTTACCCAGAGAGAGTGGACCTCAGGCCCACAGCCGGGAGGTCTGTGCCAGCCTTTGACAGGGCTTTGGCTGATTTCCCCTCCTGCCAGCCAGGAAGGGTGGGGAGGGAAGATAGGAACCCCCGAACCCCCAGGGATAGGGCAGGAAGTGTTGCTGCCAGGACAAAGCAGGAACCAAAGGGAGTCTGGGCATTAGCCCTGGTGGTGGGGCCACCAAGCCCAGCTGCTTGAGGAAGGCCTGCTGTGCCTCAATGGCAGGTGAACTCCATGTGAGCTAAACTCTGCTACTGGTGCAGACCGGCCATATCAATAGGTCCCGTCATACCCCTCACTCCAGGGTCTGGAAGCGCACAGCCACCACTTGGCAGTGCATTTTAAAATTCGGGGCGAGAGAGAGAGAGTGAGAGAGTGTTTGGTGGGGAGGGTGTCCAGTGCTCCTGATGGATGGTACTCCTTTCTTTGTCCTGGCCAGGCATCTGGCTTCTCTGTGGACACCTCCAGTAGCCCAGAACTATTTCCTCCTCCATGTGTTGTGGTGGCATCTTCTGGGAAGGTCTTTTGTTGAGCAATTGCCTCCTGCTAACTGCCACTCATAGCTGTGTCCTTGAGCTCAGAAGAGCAGCTGAGCCCCTCAGCATAGTGTGCCATCCTCTGTACCTGTCTGAACAGTGCTCTTGCCCCAGTTTCTCCCACAGTCCCTCAGGGAAATGTGTCTGCCTCTGCCAGGCTCCCCAGGTTCCTCCTCCTTAGAGCTGTGCTGTAATTGCAGTGCTGTGTGGCCAGGTAGGCAGCAGGTGGCTCTCACTCCTCCTGTTCCAAATGTTTCCAGGAAACTTCTGGCAGCAACATCACACAGACCCATGTGCTGCCATTGCCCTCCTCCACCTGGGCATCAGCAGACAAACCGGAGAGCAGCCTTCCTATCTGAGCTGCTGACCATTCCAGCCTGCTATTTAGGGATCTCTACTGACATCCACATATCAGTTCTCCTGGTCACATCATTCTTGCATTTGATACGCACCCATCTTGGTCTCTGCTGAAGTCAGCATAAAATCAATCCCAGCTGCACCCGTGGGCCCACTCAAGGCAGGTTCTGTGGAGGTGTTTGCCGGCACAGCGTCACCTCAGCACCTGCACTTCACCGCCTCTGGCTTTTCCATCTGTCCACAAGACCATCCTGAGACCATGGTGACTAGCGAATCCCCAGCTTGGAGCTCCCATACGTGGTTTTTTGAGCCTGTGCCAGCAGCTCACAGGGTCAGGGCCGTTCAGTGCCTCAGCTCCTCTGATGTGGTTGTGTGCATCAGAGCAACTTCTAAGGCAAATTGAAGCACTTCCCCCCCAGCACAGAGGGAAGAAGGCATGCAGTTTGAAGAGGCTTAGGCTGCACAGCCACTAGGGTTGGTGACCTTCACTCCTCAAGAGTTCTTGACCTCATAATGCCTGTTGGAACGCTGCTGAAGCTGTGTACCAGGAGTGCTACCTGCTCATCATACCAGACCCAGAGTTCTGCCCCAGCTCAGCCTTACTTCCTGGCTATGCTGAGCGAGTGCAATGTAATTAATGTATAGATATAATTTCAGTAGCACAAAAGGTATGTCAAGTTGTGAGTTTTGTTTTGAGACAGGGTCTCTATACCTTGGCCAGCCTGGAATTTGCTGTGTAGACCAGGCTGGTCTCGAAGCAATCTGCCTGCCTCTGCCTCCTGAGTGCTGGGAATAAAGGCATGTGCCACCATGCCCAGCTGTGTTTTGTTTTTAATAAAGGAAAGTGTCCACATATAATTTTAAAAGTATGGGGGCTGGAGAGATGGCTCAGTGGTTAAGAACACTTGCTGTTTTTCCAGAGGACCCAGGTTCAATTTCCAGAACCCACATAGTGGCCAAGCCATCATAACTCCAGTTCCAGGGGAATACGCCTTCTTTTGACCTCCACAGGCATACACTCATATACATAAAAAGTTAAAAGTATGACTCATGCAAATGCTGTTGCTGTTTTCTTATTTATTTTCATTTTATGTATATGAGTGTTTTGCCTGCATGTGTAACTGCACCCAGGACATGTAACGCCCGAGGAGGTCAGAAGAGGGCATCAGCTGTTAGTTGCCATGTGAGTGCTGGGGCTCAAACCCAGGTCCTCTGCAAAGCAGCCAGTGCTCTTAACTGCTGAGCCATCTCTCCAGTCCCTGCAGTTTTCTTTTTATTAACAGCGAATGGATTCAGATGACCAACAATAGAGGAAAAATGATGGCGCCTCTTAAGTCTCAGGTGGCTGTTACAAATGGTATTTCTGAGTGTTCATAAGAAAGGGCAAATGCTGACGGTATGCTATTTCAGGTATATAGCCAGATACACAGAGAGAAAAAGGCTAACCAGGATATTAACAATAACATTAACAGTTAACAATCTTTGTGTTATAGGCTATGAATTCATTTTTCTGTCTTCCAAAATTTTTATGGTTAAATTTTGGAGCTTTTATAACTGGGGTGGGGTGGGGGAACATAAAGAGTTTGCAGTGCACTCCACATGGCTATTTTAGATAGCTTACGCCTTCACTGCCTGCTCTCTCCGCCCTCTGCATCAGGCCAGTGTTCTAGACTTGGCATTTTAATCTGCAGAGGTGAAGAGCCCCAGGTGCTAAGAGTTCCCTTTGTTTTTGTCTCCCTAGGTTACTGCAGGTGCCACTGGGAGCCTGGGGTATCCCCAGGTGTGAGAAGAGGCCTGTCAGGAGGCCAGAGTCCTGAAGGGAGCCTCCAGGTTCCCAAGAGGGAGTTGATTTGTGTACAGATCAGTACACTTACATTTCACCGTGGCCCCTGGTGTCCTATCCAAGGTTGCTCAGTGGATTCATCTTTTTTTTGAAATAGGGTCTCCCTGTAGCACCAGCTGGCCTGGAACTCACTATGTAGATCAGGCTGGCCTTGAACTCACAGAGATCCACCTGCCTCTGCCTCCCAAGTGCTGGGACTAAAGGCATGCATCACCACGCCCGGCTTGGAATCATCTTTTAAGCAAACACTGTTGCCAGGACTCACCCACAATTCAGTCATCCATTTTAGGGCTGGGCTGTAGCATCGGTGCAGTATTTTTTCAGAAGTTGACTTAGATGGGAAGGAGGGTTGAGAACCACTGAACTAGAGACATCCCATCTGTGAATGTGCCCAATATTCTGGACCCTTCACAGTCTTGGCTCTGCTTCCACTGTGCCAGCAAAAACTCCGCCTGCCTGCCTGCTGGCTTGTAAGTTCTGCACCCTTTGAAGAGCCCTCATTCCCTTCTTCCCCACAGGCTCCCTGCACAGGGCATGGCGGTTCCTAGAGGACTCTCTTCCCTTGTGATTGGGCTGAGCAAGATGAGAGTGAAGCCCTCTTCCTCATAGCCCTGGCGGCTCCTGGTACAGAGATGGCTTTCTGATGGTTGGCACTGAACAACTGGGCTCCCTTTCCTGACAGCACTCTGCTCTGGCTCTTTGCCTACAGGGTGTGCAGATTATAGTGTTTCCAGAAGATGGAATCCATGGATTCAACTTTACAAGAACATCCATTTACCCATTCTTGGACTTCATGCCACCCCACGAGCTGGGCAGGTGGAACCCGTGTCTGGAGCCCCACCGGTTCAGTGACACAGAGGTAGGTAAGGAGTCCAGCCTTCCCCCTCAGCAGGCTGAGGGCAGCTGAGATGAACCAGGCCAGTGACCAAAAGCCACAGCACGCTGTCTGAGGGTTAAACATCTAGAACATCCAACCCCGCACTCCAGGCCCCTTGGCGATAGGGGACATTTGATCTTCCCATCGGTGAATTACAGGGGAAGCACACGAACAGAAACATTAAAGTAGAACAGAAGCTGAAACACCTCCACCACAGCCCGCCCTCACTCGTTCCTTCCTGGAGGAGCTTCCTGCAGTGACCTTGCCTCCTTTGCCGTCCCACGTCCTTTCTAGCGCTTGGCATGCTTGTTGCTTTTTAAGGCTTGCTATTTTCAGCTGTGCCTCAGTGAATATCCTGTACATATATTTTTGTAAACATGTTTGAGTTTTTCTGTAAAGTAAAACTCATGGAAATGAAATTTTTCAAAGGTTAGGTATATTTTGTTATTTTTTTAAAATGCCAAACTTACAGATTAAAAGATTTTCATCTTCCTTTACATCTCCAGTAATAGTCTATGAAAGTCTTTCTACCCTTTGGTCAATACAAGATAGAAAACTCCCTTGGATTTTTGCCATTCTAACAAAGGTGAAAAGGTCTCATTTTAATTTGCGTCTCATCACTAATGAGTGAACATTTCAGATGTTTCTTAGCCTTTTATATTTGTTCTGTGAGTTTTTTTGTATTATGTCAGCTATTTATGTATTATAGGCATAGTACAGGAAATTTTCTATTGAAAATCTGAGCCCCAAAGCAGGATTTAAACTTATTTATTTCACTTATTTACACCTTTTTCCCACCTCTAGGTCCTCCAGCGCTTAAGCTGTATGGCTGTCAAGGGACAGATGTTCTTGGTGGCCAATCTTGGGACAAAACAGCCCTGCCTCAGCCATGACCCAGGGTGTCCACAAGACGGGAGGTACCACTTCAACACGAATGTAGTGTTCAGCAGCAATGGAACCCTCGCTAACCGCTACCGTAAGCATAACCTATACTTTGAGGCTGCTTTTGACAGCCCTGCTGAAGTGGACCTCATCACATTTGACACCCCCTTTGCTGGCAAGTTTGGCATGTTCACTTGCTTCGACATTCTGTTCTTCGACCCTGCCGTGCAACTCCTCAGAGACTCTGAGGTGAAGCACATCGTGTACCCCACCGCATGGATGAACCAGCTGCCGCTCTTGGCTGCCATTGAGATTCAGAAAGCATTCGCCGCTGCCTTTGGTGTCAATGTTCTGGCAGCTAACATCCACCACCCATCTCTGGGGATGACAGGCAGTGGCATACACACCCCTCTGAAGTCCTTTTGTTACCATGACACGGACAGCCCCAAAGGTCACCTTATAATTGCTCAGATAGCTAAAAATCCACCGAGTCTTGTCAGGACAGAGAATGCAACCAATGAAAGGGACCCATCCCACAGCAAGTTCTTGAAAATCCTGTCAGATGATCCATACTGTGAGAAGGATGCCCAGGAAGTGCACTGTGATGAGGCCGACAAGTGGAACATGAACATACCCCCCACTTTTCACTCAGAGATGATGTATGACAATTTCACCCTGGTCCCTGCCTGGGGAAAGGAGGGCTATCTCCAGGTCTGCTCAAACACCCTTTGCTGTCACTTACTCTATGAGAGGCCCACCCTGTCCACAGAGCTGTATGCCTTGGGTGTCTTCGATGGCCTCCACACGGTGCATGGCACTTACTACATTCAAGTTTGTGCCCTGGTCAAGTGTGGGGGTCTTGGCTTCGACACGTGTGGGCAGGAGATCACGGAGGCTGAGGGACTATTTGACTTTCACCTGTGGGGGAACTTCAGTACTTTCTATATATTTCCTTTGTTTCTGACCTCAGGGATGACTCTGGACACCCCTGACCAACTTGGCTGGGAGAATAACCACTACTTCCTGAGGAAGAGTGGACTGTCCTCAGGACTGGTGACAGCGGCTCTCTACGGGCGGCTGTATGATAGGAACTAGGAAAGTGTGTGGTCTGTGGGATGGCCCTGCCATCATGCCCTTCTATAGCTGCACACAAGTGCTGGCCCCACCTCTGCCCAGAGGGTAGAATCCCACTTCTATGGCATCTGATCCCACCATGGAAGTTGTGGGAAGCCGTGGGAGAGGCAGTTCTATCTTCTTTCAACATAATGACTGATACATCTTCTATTCATACTGCCTTTCCAAGCTACACCTTCCTCTAAAAACTCACTACATAATTGGTTTGAAATGCTCAAACAAAGTAATAAATGTCCGTTGCTATTTTACACATCCACAAAGCCCTGTTTTGTTTGTTCATTATTAATCTAGTGACATCCTGTCAATATTTCCCAGACCTCACTCTGGTAACAAACTCTGAAAGCAAGAGCTATAAAGGGCTGCTGTGGTGACCAGCCCTATACTGGTCAACAGGAGCTGTGTCCAGATCAGGTGGCAAAGCCAGAGTCAATAGCCACTCCAGAAATGTAGGCCTAGAAATGGCTCTTGGAGCTAGGAAAGGCTTTTCTCACATGGGAGAGAAAGAGAAAGGCTCTTTCTGCCTTGCTGCCAGTAGATGAGGGTGTAGGCTGTAGATGAGGGTGTAGGGTGTAGATGAGGGTGTAGGCAGTAGATGAGGGTGTAGGCTGTAGATGATAAGGATGTAGGCCATAGATGATGAGGGTGTAGGCTGTAGATGAGGGTGTAGGCCATAGATGAGGGTGTAGGCCATAGATGAGGGTGTAGGCAGGCCTCAGAATAACTGAGAAGAGTATGGTGCTGAGGGAGGGGTGCAGAGGGCTGGGGAATGTTGAGGGACGAGGTGTGGCTAGGAAAATACGAGTAATCAAATTTTTCTGTCCAAGGCATCTCATCCAGGGATTCCAGGACCTTAATGAATTGCATTAGCTTTGCTCAGCTATGTGGGATGGAGTGACTGCTGTTTTCATTTAATTTGCAGGTCTCCTCTGTGCAGAGAGGTCCCGCGCCCTGTAAGCTAAGCTGCAGGAACTGCCTAGAGGTTAGTGCAGTGTAGTCACGAGTTCATGCAATCCCTTAACAGGTGCTTTCTGAGGGCCCACAGAAGTACAGGGCAGAGGCTGCCCATGGTAACAGTTCCATACAAGAAACCATTGATTTCTAATTTCAGTCAGTGTTTCAAAGCCATTTTTAAAAGATTTTCTGTGCCCAATAATGGTTTCTATTATAAAAATTCTTTAAGCGCAGAATGAATAGTCTTGTGAGATTTGCCTCCTAAATGTCCTTTTTTTTTTTTTTTTTTTTTTTTTTTTTTTTTTTTTTTTTTTTTAGAAAGGATTTCAAAAAAAACAAAAAAAAAAAAAACCCCAAAAATAAGACAAAGGAAAATAAAACTGTTGCACATCTGGCTCTGGTTCTTATTTCTTAATTTTAAACTCCCTCCCTTTTCTGCCCTCCTAAATCTAACACCACTTATTTAATGCACAAGTTCCAAGGTAAGTTAAAGCTTTGAAGTTGTGGTCCTTTTTTTTTTTTTTTTTTTTTTTTTTTTTTTTTCTTTTTTTCGGTCTTTTTGAGACAGGATCTCAAAAAGACCAAAAACAAAAAACAACCCAGAATGTACGAAATGGAAGATGAAGTCTTCCACTTTCCAGCATGGGAGACTTTCAGCCCCTCCCCTGGCCTTTGGCAGGGTAGCTGAGCTTGGAATCCAATGGACAGCACTTACAAGAGTGGTCTTGCCATTCCTTCTCCACTCCATAGGCCTGGGCAGTGGATTTAAACCTTTTGGCATTGTTTCCTACCTGTGGCAAGTACGTGGATCATGCCAGATGGAAAAGGAGCCCTGCAGCCCCAGCCTGGGCTGACTCACTGCAAAGGCCTGGGATGAGTCACGTCTTCAGGAAATGAGTGGAGCCAGCGACTCAGAATTCCTCAGGAAGCCCTGGGATCCCTGCACCCTGGGAAGTCCCCCAGGGATGGTGGAGGACCTCTCTTACCAGATGACAGTCCCCGTCTGCCCTGTAGTGCAGGCCCTGCCAGGTGATGGGAACTGGTAGGCCGGATGTGGCTCCAGATATAGCTATCCATAGCCCACACTGCTTCCCTACCCCAAACCCCAGAGAGATGGGAAGTATCTTAAAAATGCATACTACTGTTTCCTGCCAAGATGACTCCAACCAGCCTGAGAAATGGACAGAAAAGCAGGTCCTGAAGGCAGACCCGCTGCCACTGTTCCCAGGGACTCCTGACACCTGCCTGCCCTGCTTCCTGCCCTTCTGAGCAGACCTGAGAGTTCCACTCAAGTGACTGAATCACTCATGCAGACAGGAGAAAAGCAAATAATGGAGGGACAAAGTGACTGACAGTTTAAAGAAGATAAAGAAGTAGTTGCCAGATGGCAGGACAAAGGGGTGGACGGGAAAATGAATAAAATCAACCATTTTCAGGGGGAAAAATGTACCGATGAGTAATGGTTGGGATATGTTTTTGTCTTCTGTGAGCCTCAAGTTCAGGAAGCAAAGGGCAATTCTGACCATAACACAGAGACAGGAAGTCGTGTATTTTTGGTTGAGGCACTTGAGGAAGTGGTCTGGTCCCTGTGGTTTCTTGTGGAGGTATGGCCACTTCTCACAAAGAAAGTAAGGGGCACAGTGAGGGGTCTTCACACTTGCTTAACAGACCTGCTCCCTAGAGAAGGTAAATACGACACTCTTTCAAAGACTGATCAGTCCCAGAGCCTACCACCGATGCCCCTCTGCCACCAAGGAAAGCCCACCTGGGCAACCCCTTCTCTACAGGTCAAATGGAATGGACTGTGGCTACTGTGAAAAATTGTCCCAAACTTAATTGTTGTAAAATGAACTCCTATTCTATTGTTGTGGAAGCCAGAAATCTTAACTCAGTTGCCAAGGCATGGGCAAGACCATTACATTGCTAGAGGGTCCAGGGGACCACCCCTGCCTGCAGCGAACTAGCCCAGGAACAGGCACCTGACCCAAGACTGACCAGCCAGCCAGGTGGCAAGCTGGCACCATGAGACATGGTCTGGCACAGAGATTCCACAGAGGGGCAATAGTGAACCACTACTCTAAATCTTGAGATTTGGAGCTGCCTAAATGACCCCAGGATGAACAAATGATTTCTTAACACAGAGGGTGTAGCTATAACTGAGTAAAGTCACAACAGCTGAAAATGTATTGTGCAAAAAGGCCTAGATTTAAGTCAGGCATGGTGGTGTACACTATAATCCCAGCACTCAGAAGGCTGAGGCAGGAGGATTGAACCTGCCTGGGCTACACAGTTAGACCCCGTTTCAGAAACAAAGAAGCAAACAAAAAACTCAACAGAAACCAGCTTAGATTTAAACCCAGCATGGAGACAGGTGAGGACCAGACGGAGGCTATGCTGCTTCTAGGGTCCAAGCTCAGACCTGTGCTCCTGCCTTGGCCTTTGCTCTTCTACACCAAGCTTCCTTTTGGGTGTTAGCAGCATAGTCCCATGTAACTGTCCCAAGCAAGAGATGGCTCCTGGTGTGTGGGGTGAGGGTTGGGGGAGTGGACGGGGAACACAAGACACTGAGGATTGTGGGTCTCTGCACAGCAGCAGTGTGTGAAGCCAAGGAATGACGGTTATTTGAAATGCGCCCCTGCTGGCTGATGGGTTAAGAAGCTTTGTCCCTTTCTAAGTCACACACACCTCATGACCCACCAGAGGGCTCATTGAGAGGGAGTGCAATATGAAGTCATTTAAGGAAACACAATTGCTAGCCTTTAGAATAAACAGCAATTTACAGTATAAAAGGCAGTTCTTTGGAATTACCCATCCAAACTTTAAAAATTTTCTAATGTCCTGTCAGGTTCTTTTGTTTTTTTGAGACCGTTTTGTTTTTTTGAGACCGTGCTATGGAGCACTGACTGGCCTTGAACTCCTGATTCTCCTACCTCCAACCTCCCCAGTACTGGGTTTACAAGCACGTGACACTGTTAGATGACAGATCCTCTAGATGCACCTCCTCTTTTTCCAGAAACCAGGCAATATCCCTGGGCTGCTTCTGGGACAGTAGGTAAAAAGGCTCACTGTGCTATGCCCCCCGCCTCCCTGCACCTGCTAAATTTATGGTCCTTGGTGCCTGCCTCCATGCTCCTCAGCACCTAGACCAGGCCAGATCACGGGGCATGAAGTGTGCCCATCACCCTGAAAGTCTGTGTCAGATACACACTTTGCTCTTGGGATTTGAAGGGCAGGTTCCTTCTCCCTTCAGGGCCCCATCATGGTGCTTATGGTCTGCATTTATCTCTTCTAGCATTCTTTCATCACAGGCCCAATCTTGGCCCTCATGTTGTAAGGTGCCCTCCTAATAGAGCTCATTCTGAAGGGTAATCTTTGTCAGCTCCTGTCCACAAATCTGCCACTTTTTTCTTCAGTTGTAACAGCTACCACACCCAGACTGTTTTAAAATTATTTTTATGTATATGAGTGCTATGCCTGCATCTATGTAAGTGTGCCCATGGAGGACAGAGGAGGTTGTCAGATACCCTGCAACTGGAGTTACGGACAGTTGTTAGCCATCATGTGGGTGTTGGGTTTGAACCCGACTCTTCCGCACTGTGCAGTCAGTGCTCCTAACTGCTGAGCCAGCACTTAAAATAATTTTTAATTACACTGCACAAGTCATTTCTCTCCTCCTACCATGTGGATCCCAGGGATGGAACTCAGGTCATCAGGCTTGGTGGCAGGTGCCTTTACCAGCAGAGCTGGGCCATCTTGCTAGTTCGAGGTTTTTTTTTTTTAATATTTTATTATTTTTATGTTATGTGTATGAGTGTATTGCCTCATGTATGTGAGTGCACCCGTGTCGTGCAATGCCGTGGAGGTCAGAAGAGGGCTTTGGATTCCCCTGGAACTGGAGGTAAGGACAGTTCGTAGCCACCATGTGGGTCCTGGGAATTGAACCCGGGTCCTCTGCAAGAGCAGTCAGTGCTCTTAACCCCTGAGCCATCTCTCCAGCCCCTAGTCCGAGTTTTTAAAGGATTATCAGACACATCAAAACCAGAGAACAAACAGAATACACAAAGCCCTACATTCATAGACAACAGAAAGGCATGTGTTTTCAGTAAAAATGAACACATTTCCAAAGAATGGCTGTAATCCAGAGTTTTCAGCAACCATTAAAAGAACAAAGATGTTTGTGTCCTCTGAGCCACGAAATGCTTTCAAATAAACTGCTGCATGTGCAGCTGAACCATGCCAGGAGTCCTATGTATGTGAGGAAAATGACTGTCGATAAATGAGTAAGACCAGATGTATTTGTA